TGATGTCATTAAATGAATGTTTAATTTATTTTAGCAATAAAATTATTTTAACGACCTCTGTTTTCTATAGAATTTATTGAGTGTTTTTATGTGTATCTTTATTTATTGAATTTATAAAGCTGCCAAATTCATAATTTATTGCTCTGGGCAGCAGATAAAAGTAAATATCCAATAAATATAAAACCAGCATAATAAACTCCACCAATAGAGAGATAATCAAGGCTGAAAATAATAGCAACAGCACTTAGACTTATATACAGCTTCACAGTGTGTTACAGCCCTCTCTAAGTGGTTTACTGACAACATATTGCCCCTAACGATCTGGCTCCTCATTTTACCAACCTTGGAACACTGAAGACAATCTTGAGCTGGTGAGAATCGAACTCCTGGCAGTCAGCAGAATTAGCCTGTAATACTGCATTCTAACCATTATGCCACCACGGTTCAAATAAACGCTCTTCTCATAATTGAATGGGTTCAATTACCATCTTGGCCCAAGACATAAGACAAAAGCATCTCTTCTCAGCTTTACAAAAGAGGAGTAGGATCAGAGTGCCTTCATATCAGGGGTGGGGAAGAAGCTCATCCAAAGAGCAGATGTTTCAACAGTAAAGATATGTAGTCTAGGTCCCATTAGGTAACTCTGCCTCAGGGGACCTGAAGCATGTCTACTTTGGGCAGCTGAGTTGGATGAGCAGATGGGCTCATATCCTGCACATAACTCAGCCCTCAGAGCAAGGGAGGAATTGCACTACATTTTCATTACAGCTGTACATTTCATTTATCACTTGGCAGCCTTGTTATTAGAAAGAACGAGTTTGCAGTTGTATATTGATTTCATCCATTTAATAACCTTGAGTGAGAAAACACTCAGACATTTGTCTGCAAGCAGTCAACCAAGAAACTCAGAGAACGCCAAGGATTCCATGTTGATCTCTGTTGCATGTATATACATATCTTTATTTTAAGTAATGAAAGTGTGAGGGTATGCTGTTCACATTTTCCACTTCTAGTTACTTACTTTCAGGTAATTAGCCTTCTATAGCTGTATGGTCTTATTATTTTCAGATGATTGATGAAGAGGAAATTCAAACCAGATGCCAGACACTTTTTGTGTAAAAGTGAGTGGTTTCATACGGAGATCATTATGTTGATGACTGATTAGCATCAAAGCTTTACTCTCACAGTAATAACACTTTCTCTGCTGAGCTTTACTGATCTGGGCCCTTCCACATAAATGGGGACTACAGTAATTCTCATTAGTATAGATATTGGCAAGTTTTAATTGTTTCAGAGGTGTTAACTTCAATGGTAAGTTGTTTCCGTTTTCTGGAAAATTATTTGAATCTACTTTCTATTGCTGTTTGATGTCTTAAATTTAGTAATATGGATTTCTATTCCAATACTTGATACTCATGGAAATTACCACTGCAGATGTAAAACCTCTTCATCAATGGTAGTATTCAGCCGGTTTGCACTGGTTCAACTGAACCAGTAGCAAGGATTTGGCATGGGTCGCCGAACCGGTAGTAACTTCTGGTTGGCCACACCCCCAACCTGGTCACCTGGTCACCATTCGCTTGCTTGCCCTGATGCCCAATGCTAGCTCACCCCATCCACCTGATGCTCGCCCACCCAGCCACTCCTTAAGGTATTTTTTTTTACCTCCTGACAATCAGCTGTTCCTACGAGTAGCTGTGCCAGGATTCTCCTTACTTCTTACTGCTTTGCCCAGGAGGCTTGCCTGAGGCCCAGGAAGACAAAAAATGAAAAGAGGGGGCATAGGTCCCCCTCCATTTTTTGCCTTCCTGGGCCCCAGGAAAGCTTCCTGGGAGCAAAAATGCCCCCCTAGAGGCTCCTCTGAGGCCAGGAAGGCCCTAAAATGGAGCATGAAGTTTTTGAATCCCACCACTGCTCTTCATATGGTGGCTTCATGACAAGTGTGCTGCATCTTAACGTATGATGTGGTCAACAAATAGAAGAAGCCGATGTCTACGTAAGCCAAGGAACACACTGATCCTTAGTCTAACTGAAGTAGTCAAGATGACCATCCAGATTACTTTCTATCTTATATCTTTATAAAACCTTTCCGTTAATCCCCAAAATCAGGAGATTTTTTGGGAAGAGATAGATAGAACTGCATTTGTGATATATGGTATGCCATATATTCAAATGATCTCAACTGCTAAGTAGAGTTGATGATCTATACACACGTGCAAACCAAACATCCTAGACAGAACACAGCTTCCCCATTTTAAGCATACATCCCCAATTTCTTCTCAGCAGAGGTGACCCAGAGAACACTAAACTCATTGTGAGAACAGCCTTTTTCTGCAGGCATTGCTTTTGTTGCCTGTGTTCCGCAACTTCTTTTACTACAAAATACAAGAACTCATATGTTCACAGCTTATTATTTGGAGAAATCTTATTTTCACTTAGCAGGTTTCCACTAATTCAAGAGGCCTTTTCAATCCAAGCTGATGTTATTTGAAAAGGAAAAAGTAGAAGGAATTTGAAGATGTTTGCTTCTGGGTTTTTTTTTTAGCAAGGAAGATGGGCAAAATAAGTTAAAGTTGCTATTACATTTGGCCCCATCGCTATTTTCATAAGTCCGTCAAAACTTAATTGTGCCAAAAGGCCTGGGGGCTCTTAAGGGCATTGTGAGTTGTTGAAGTAGTTTCACTGTTAATATTTGTTGCTCTCTCCTTGCCTTGTAATAATATTAATGGTTTTAATTATTTTATAGTTTTTTATTGTATGCCACCCTGAGTCGCATTTTGTGAGATGGACAGCCATATACTGTAAATATGATGAATAAATAAGGAAAGCCTTTTATGTCACTTCTGCATCTTGTAAGAATTGGCACATTTTGTTCTTCAGTGCCAGCAACACTGTATGAAAATTTGCTGGGTTTTTTTTAAAACTGGGTCTCCCTTTCTAGGAAGATTTTTAATCTCTCTCGTTCTCTCTCTGTTTTTTAATCAAAGCCCCATCAGAAGAAATACTGTTGTATAAGTACACAGTTGATAGACACAGTGCTACAGTGCCACGCTAATCCAAGGGACTTTGTCCTTGTAAATAGATTCAAACTGGACAAGGAATAGATTCAAACTGGACAAGAAATATTTGTCACCAGTGTTGGCTAAAAGCCCAAGCTGTGTTGTATTGTGTACATTAGTTCCTATGGAGATGTGGAGAAGACCTTCAGCCAACAGCACTTCTGGCTTTTCTCAGAAGGGAAAGATCCATCAATTCTGAAGGTAAAGTAGTAGATCTACCTGTGATTATTTATTTGTTCAAACATGTGAATGGATAGATAGGATATTGAGGGGTCGGGGTGTGTGTGTATTGTGTGTGCTGTGTTTCAGAAACTGCAGAATTGATATTCTCTTAGACTAAAAATAACAAAACATGTCATAATACTGAATCCTAAGACTGATGCACAAAAGCTTAATTTGTAGTATAATTCTAGAGGTTAATAGGATTCAAATTAATTTCAGAGTGCAATTGTTTCCCTTAAAACATGCAAAATTAACCTAGCAAAAGGAAAGAGTGAAAATAAGATCAAAACTTGGAACATTAGAGGGGGAGGAAAATTTTGCCTTTTTGCTTTTCCAGTGAACATTAAGCTTTAATCCCACTTCTGTTTTTCTTGTGTTGAGGTATCACCATCTTTTTCCTCCGAACCACGAAACCCACAACAGATCTTTTGAAAAGAAAAAGTGTATGTTTTAATAAGAAACTAATAGCTTAGTATTTGATTTCTCCCCTTCTTCACAAAGATATTGGTAGTAGCTATGGATTTATTCCCTGCGTTTTAACCCCATGTTTTAAACAGTTGTTTCCCCAAACAGTTTGTATAAGAATGGAAAAAGAGTCCATGTATGCAGTCTAGAACAAGAGATCCAAAGCTCCTCAGCTCATTGACCCTGATATTTCATTTTTAAGAGCTTCAGAGAAAAGAACTATAATATTTCTAAAGCAAATAAAAGATAGAAAAGGTGAACAGGGATTTCTTCAGATATATAGTATGTAGATCTCACCCAGTAAAATCAGATAGTACAACTTTTTGTCCAGTTACTAATAATGATGATAAATTAAAATACCACAGTTTGTCATGTGGCCAAATCATCATAATGCAAATTAATTGATGTTGGTGTCTCACTCAATATGGATTGATGGGGATCCAAGTAGTATTTGGGGAATGCAGCGAAAGATAATCATACAATATGTAAAGTGTCTATCTGCTCATTCTGATAAAGTTACTAACCTCTAGAGATTACCCATGAGGTAGCATTTCCAGTTCCAAATTCATACTTCAACCCCTTCTGCACACTATAGCCCCTTCCACAGCTTGCACAAACAATACCTTTTTTGGTAGGGGAACAATGGGTGTCAGATTACCTGTCAGATTACAGAAGGCCAATATGTATTTATTTATTTCATTTATATCCAGCCTTTACTATTTTTACAAACAACTCAAGGCAATGAACATATTCAATACACATTTGCCTTCCTATTTTCCCCACAACAACCCTGTGAGGCGAGTTGGTCTGAGAGAGTGACTTCCCAAAATCACCCAGCTGGACTGCACAAATCAATCCAAGTTTTTTGTTTTTGCCAATATTAAAAACATTAATAGCATAAATATGAAATGGCACATTTCTTATTTTATAATGAGATCAATATTACAAAAATTGATAGAGGGTACCCAGAATAATTTTTAAAAAGCCCTAAAGACACAGGTATTTGGCTTGTTTATAGAGGTTTTGATTAGGATATAAATTTTAGCTGAATTTAGAACTCAGCATTTCCTCTTGAGCATGAAAGTTACACCATTATTCTGTTTCTAGCCACTAATAGGAATCTAATTGATGTGTACAACAGAATTAACAGCAGATAAAAGTGACTATTACCTGAATAATTATGGTTCATACAGTATATACACCACATGGTGACATTTGAAAAGCATAGGATATTCTTACAAGAGACAGAGTCTGCATCAGCCTCAGTCAATGGAAATCCTGCGTACACGATTCAGTTCTTGGACACCAATTGAAAACAAATCACTTAACAATCAGGTAACGTTAAATTAACACTTAACACTTAAACTGCTAAACTTTTACAATTTAATATTTCCAAAATTTTCATAGTTCGCATGTCCATCAGCAGAAGGCTGGTTTTGTAGTTTGTTTAAATGTTTCCAGAAAAAAGTATATGCCAGTTTGTTGTAGTAAATACATGCAGGGGTGGGATTCTACCAGTTCGCACCTATTCACTAGAACTTGTTTATTTATTTTATTTATTTATTTGATTTGTCAATTGTTTACAAGATAATAAGTATAAGTGTATACATAGTTATGAATACATGAAAAGAATATAAGAAAAATAAAATAAAAATAAAAGAAACAATAGGACAGGGACGGTAGGCACGTTGGTGCACTTATGCATGCCCCCTTGTTTGTTAACATTCTAAGCAGTTTGGAGAACCAGTTGTTAGAAGAAATTACTGGCCTAATCCTGTAAGGAAGGCAGGAAGGAAACATTCTGGTGTTGCTTACAGAAACTGCCTCTCTGTTAACCCTTATTACATTCTTGGCAGGACTAGACTTCCTGTCTCAGGAACCTCTCTGGAGTTTTTTTCCCCTCCTTTGCTGGTACTTTGCTCGTGTTTGAGTGACCATTCAAAGTTACAATGGCACTGAAAAAAGTGACTTATGACCATTTTTCACACTCTTGCAGCATCCCCACAGTCATGAGAGGCCAGGAGAGGAGATGCATGCCTCAATGTGAGTGATATTGAGTTGGCCATGCCCAGCCAATAACATGACCACAAAGCCACGTCCACCAACTAAGCCACACCCACAGAACTGGTTGTTAAAAATTTTGAATCCCACCCCTGAATACATGCATGCCATGAAATTGTGGTACCTGGTTCTGCCTATAACTGAAGACTATTATAATAAGCCTTCATAAAGACTGGTTGAGTTCTGCTTCTCCCCTTCTGGTTTCAACCAAGAGAATATGTTTGTTATTTTAGCACTTGCTAACTTACAGGTTACCTGCAGCAAAAACCTGCTACTGTAGACAAATATTATTTTGATGCCCATTTGACCTGTGGTTTCTATATTCTTACATACATCTGGAATAAATACAGTTGCCTCATACAACTCTTGTTCCTTTTTTTCTTTTTGGCTGCTAACATTAAAAAAAATCTGTAAAATAAATCTCATATCGAAAATGTTTTTCTCACCACAATCAATTGATGCAACATTGTTTTTTAAAAACACATTTTATTGCTTTTAGAATAATAACAAAAAAGAAAAAAAGGAATAAAACACAAAACCACATTACAAAAATACATAAGGAATACTTATGTGAATCGGTAAAAAGTATATTAGATGCATAAACATACACATGCTCATAATATTTACATTATGTTATATATAGAGAATTGTAATTGTTTACTGTATATTTACTCTTATAGTGACATACTGTACAAGAAAAGAAACACTAAGAAAAGCCCATATAAACATTAGAATGATCCACTGGTTTTTTTTTAACACTGTATTGTCTGTAAGGACATCCATACAGCCTTGTTCTGTCATGGTGGCGAAGTGGTTACAGTGCAGTACTCCAGGCTACTTCTCCTGACTACCAGCTGTCTGCAATTTTGCAGTTCGAATCTCACCAGGTCAATGGTGGGATTCAATTTTTTTTTACTACCAGTTCAGTGGGCGTGGCTTGGTGGGCATGATGTGGCTTGGTGGGCATGGTAGGGGAAGGATACTGCAAAATCTCCATTTTCACCCCACTCCTGGGGGAAGGTTACTGCAAAATCCCATTCCCTCCCCACCCCACTCACCTGCTTTCCAGCTCTGTTCCCCTGTGCAGGGCAACAAAAAATGACCCAGCTGATCAGGAGGCAGAGAATAGATGGGGTGGGACCAGTCAGAGGTAGTATTTGCCAGTTCTCTGAACTACTCAAAATTTCTGCTACTGGTTCTCCAGAACTGGTCAGAATTTTCTGAATACCATCTCTGCACCAGGCTCAAGGTTGACTCAGCCTTCCATCCTTCCGAGGGTGGTAAAATAAAGACCCAGATTGTTGGGAGCAATATGCTGACTCTGTAAACCACTTAGAGAGAGCTGTAAAAGCACTGTGAAATGGTATATAAGTCTAAGTGCTTTTGCTAAGTGCTGTTGCTAGTACCTACAATTGGAACAGAAGTACAGTATTCCATTCCTCTAATGGCCTCCACATTCTGCTATCTTGCCTGTAGAATTATAATATTTACTGTCTACTTATTCTTCAGGATGTTCCGTTTCCGCCCCCCCCAATGATTTTCCTTTCTGCTTTTTTTTAAATATATATAACAAAAGCCACACTGAGTTGTACAGAATCAGACAGGTTCAAAATTTAAATTGATCGATCAATAGTATTGATGTCAATTTTAGCAATTTTATTGATTTTCTGCTTTGTATATTTTGGATTTTTGATATAAGAAAGAACTACTATTACCAGGCTTTTTCGCTAAAAAAATTCTTTTAGAAAATAAACCAAAATGGGATGCTAGTGGCATGCTACAAAGCTAATTGTTGTCCCTTAGCATTATACTTACCAATAGTATATTTATTAATGATAATTTTTAATAATATCTTAAGGTCTTAGATAGGCCTAAAAAGGATGGAGCTCAGCTGAAAGAGACTCTGCCTACTGTGTACACATGAGGAAAAAAAGAGCATGATAGAAAGTAAATGAGTGTTCTGTGACTGACACTGTTTTGTGAGGGTGGTCATGGTTTATTTTGAATATTTCATTGGGGTCCCTGGACCATAAAGATTTGTTTGCTCCTAGTCCAGACTTTTTTAGGAAATAATCCAGCCAGTCAGAACTTCCTGTGAAGTTAATTTGATTTTGCAGCATATATTATTGTCTGTGGTCCTCCAGATACAGTAGTTAAAGCATTAGCATTGTCCAACACAGCCAATAATGAGGGTTGTTGAGAATTGAAGTTAGCAATGTCTAAGGACTCCAGATTGTTACCCAAGTTACCCTCATCATATAATGAGGTTATAAAATGGCCCTAAAGTGAAAAATTAGTAGTACTGTATGTGGAATGGTCTAATCTTATATGTTATTGAACTGTGTTTTTTATTTAAAAAATGTGTGACTTTGTTTAGCTTTATCAGGAAAGAATCAGACTTATAAGCCACTGGTTTGACTTGTGGACAGACAAACAACGCAAGCAATTTCTCTTCTTGATACTGAACCAGTGCAATAAATCACAGCTGAAGTAAGTGATCCACTCGCTTTAATACTATGCTTTGTGAAAAGAAAAAGTAGATTATGCAAGAGTACTTCCTATAATATAAATTATTTACTGCACCATTGTTTGCTTTTTCTAGAATCCAATCCTATAGTTAGCTGGAGCTCATTGAGATCTCCCAAACAGAGATCTAGAAGTACTAATTCTTGTAAAATGTATTAAATTTAATGGACCAAAAGGAATATTTCCAACCTTTGGGATCTAGAATTAAAAAAAACTGACTGGTGCTAAGGCAGAAACTATATATATTGTAAAATTATTTTAAATTAATTTAGCATTGTTAATATGGTTATTTCCTAGGTATTTAATAATTCTCTGTGTTAATAGCTGTGATTTAGCTACAACTTTTGGTAGATCTTTGGGCTAGTGGTAGCTCTGTCCATATGTGTTATAAAATACATACATGAATACCTTATTTCTATATAGATGACAAGATAAAGTCTCATTCCATAAATTATGGAACAAAAGAGTTAAGGAGTAAATGTATTTTAAGAGTAAAATACATTTTGTCCAACACAAAGCCCTATTTTCCAAAAAATTGGGGGAAGGTGGGCCAGAATGGGAAAAGTACATAGGATGGAGATCTGCCTCTGGTACCAAAGATCTTGGCCTCCTGATACAGTATTTAAATTTGAACCTGCCCACCAGCTTCCTATAAAACTGGAGACTATAATCATGTGTCAATTCACAGAAACTAACAAAAAATATTGGTGTTGCCCTGCATGAAGAGGTGCTGCCACATGAAAATGAAAGTGAACTTGAGAAGTTGAATAGATGGGGAGAAAATGGGATGGTGGTGGTTTAATAATGGCTTACTCATTAAATGTTTAGAACCTCAAAACATGATGTTGCTTTGTATTTAACACAAGCTATGGTTCACATCTGTACAATTCTCTTCTCCTGTCAATACGTGTAAGTATTTCCCCAGATCCAATAATTCATTTCATTTTTGTTGTTGTTGTGTTTTCCTTCCTTGTTGCATAGGTGTGCTGAAAAATGGCTTGTAGAAAATATCCCACTGACCCACGTAGATTTCACCACTCTACTGCCACGTTTCATATCTCTATATGTATTCTCCTTTCTCGGTCCGAGGGATCTTTGTACTGCAGTCCAGGTCAATTGGCACTGGAAATTTTTAACTGAACAGGTAGTATCAGACTATGACTTGTTCTCATGAGCCAATGCTACATGCTAGAGTAGTAGAACCATGGTCTTCTAAGTAAAGTTCAATTCCCAGCTGTTCCAGATTACATGACCCATGGTGAGATACTCAGAAATGCAGTTTAGCAACATTCAACATATCATCCTTCCCTCACTTTTGAATAAACCCCATCGAGTGCAAAATTGAGACTGAGGGTTACAGAGCCACTTTGAAGTCATCCCAATTAAACACCAAGTTCTTATGCTCATTGATTTGAAATGGCATGAACATTTGTAACATTCTCCAGTGAAGTTTCCCATCTGTGTTACTTGTCTCTTAATTATAGCCATTTCATATGGAAGGAAAATAGTCCCGTTGCCAATGATTAAAATTCATCGGCCTTATTCAAATTTAAAGTGGGAGAAGGCATGGCAATTGTAGGAGAAGGAGTGGCAGAATCTGTGGGCAGAGTTAAGAAAGGAATCAGCCTAGACTTTACATAGTCACAAATGGACTAATTCAATCCTTCTTGAATTCAGTTGCCCCTTATCTACCACTAAAATAGTGCTAACCATTAATTGAGTAGATTGCTGTGCAGAGGCATGAATAATAAATTGCTTTAATTAAAACTTCACATCCATGCCCCTGACAGCAATAGAATAATTGGCAATAATTAATTTTACATTCAGGTGACATCAGATCCATTCATGAATTAACATACATATGGAATAGCGGAATTTAGATATAGCCTTGCTTCTATGTTTATTTATTTATTTTTGTACTATTTATCAATTTTACTTACTGTTTTTCTAGATTTCTTCTATTTCCATATATTATTAGGGTATGATCATAATAATTATTCAAATCCCATTAAAATTAAATCAAATGATGAGGCTCCTGAGTTAAAATCCAAGGAATTACTTTTGAGTCTCTTTTAAATAAAACCGATTGCATGTACCTTCCAAATCAAGGAAAAGAGAGAAGTTGATATTTGTGTACATCATTTCCATAGATCTGCTTCTTTAACGTATCTGCTGCTATCAACAATTAAATCATACTTTACTTGATTTGATAAGCTTTGGTAATAACTTTTCTTTGAAAATAAATGTTTTCATTTCCTTAAGGACTGTCTGTGGATGCCAATATGCCTTAAATTAGGATGGTTTCTTCCATATGTTCCTGAAAAGAATGAATATGGCGCTTGGAAGCGATACTATATCGCCTGTGCAACCAGCCTGGATTATCTAACTCCTAGGAGAACTGCATACCACAGCACCACCAGTGATTTCAAAACAAAAATTGAAGAGCAAGAAGAAAAATGTCAAGCAAAATGTCTTCAGAAATTTATTCGAGGAGGACTGGCAGTACGCAAAAGTCAGTTTTCGTTCAGTTGTTAGTAAGGGAGGATCTTATTTTTTTCTCTGTAGCAGCTGGGAATCATTAAGTACTTAAGAATATATGAGATGCATAGGAGTGCCTAGCAAGCCCCAAGGACCTAAAACTGAAATAAATATACTGAAATAAATAGCTTTTTAAATAATTGCATTAGACAGAAAAATGGAAAAGGTTGGACTGTGTTTGACCTCTTTTTCCAAATGCAGCAAAGTGATAAGAATATTAGGGCATTGTCTTCTCTTTGAAGTATGTGTATGCCTTCTTAAATTAATATAATTATTTTCCATGAGGCTTAATGTAAAATACTCTAATGAATGATTCCTATATGTCATATGAAATGATTGCAGAAGTGGAATGCAGTTTATAGAATGAGTCATTCTTTCTCCTCTGTCTCTTGCTGCTCCTATGAATTTGATTCTCTGCTTGTGCCAGTTGGCTTTGGATACCAGTAGTTTTCCCCTTTAGCTTAATTTATTTATTTTTATTTTCCACATTTCTGAACTGTCCACCTTCCTCAAAGAGTGTAACTGCAGCCTTGATACCTACCCTGTTTCTCAGAAAATAACACCAGGTCTTACATTATTTTTTGCTCCAAAAGACATATTAGGGCTTATTTTCAGGTGATGTCTTATTTTAGGAGAAATATAGTACTAAATGTGTCCATCTGGCTGACAATCTTAACTGGGGCTTATTTTGGGGATAGGGCTTCTATTACAAGCATCTTGAAAAATCATGCTAGGTAGGGATAATTTTCCAGTTGGACCTTATTTTCAGGGAAACATGGTAGTATTCTCTCTCTTTTTTTAAAAACCAAGCTGTTCAGAAATTTGTGGACCAAATCCTTTATTTTCACCCCCATGGCATGTTCCCAATACAGGCATTGCGATAAAAAGAATAGGAAGACAAAATTGAACAAGTCATGTCAATCCTATTATGATAAATAAGATGAATGGTTTGCCCTTTTTAGTAGAGCAATTTGCATTTTTTGTGCATCGCTTTTATAAAGATCAAAATGAGAGTCTAGTTGTGGGTGGCCTATAAATTCTCTTCTCCCTCTAAATTCTCTCAAGATTAGGAATCTTGTACAGCCTATTAAAATCTAGAACTGTCTGTAAATTAAAATATATACTTAAATTAATAATATAACCTGACAATGAAAAACGGAACATAAATAATTATCTTTTGACACTGACATACAATATAGTTGAATGGGATTTATTTTTCAGAGGAATTATTCAAAGCTCGTCCACCTTGGATAAGTGGAACCCGGAGCTCAGGATTTTACAAATCTGGATTTCAACCACATTTATCTCAGTCTATCTATGACAGGGCTGAATTATCATCTGACTTATTAATGAAGGTATTATTTTCCCCCTCCCCAAATGTTTCAATTTTTATATCCATGCATACAGAGCTTCATCCCCAAAATAATGTTGAGTAACAGTGCTTAGAGTTTAGGCATGTCTTAAGGAGAGCAGTGTAGGCATCTGAGTCAGTGAGCTTTAGGGGCTTGAGGATCTGCTAAACGATTGATGTTGGCACTGGGGTCCCCAATGCCAATCCCTGGTCTTGTAAATCTCATCTTGCTGTCCCTGGGTTTCCATCAGTCTTCTCTGACTGAATAACGATGGTAGGAAAACCACTCTGTCAAACCACCAGACTTGAAATTCTAGATCTAGAAAGCCTAGAACTACGACCCCTTTGGTCCCATCTAACTATAGTACATAAAATTATACATTGCAATGTCCTACCTGTCAATGAATACTTCAGCTTCAACCATAACAATACAAGAGCAAACAATAGATACAAACTCAAGGTAAACCACACCAAACGTGATTGCAGGAAATACGACTTCAGCAACAGATTGGTCAATGTCTGGAATACTCTACCTGACTCTTGGTTTCTTCCCCAAACCCCCAAAACTTTAACCTTAGACTGTCTACTATTGACCTCACTCCTTTCCTAAGAGGTCTGTAGGGAGCGTGCATAAGCGCACCAACGTGCCTCCCATCCCTGCCCTATTGTTTCTTTTTTATTCGTATCCATTTCATGTATTCATAACCATGCTTATACTTATACCTGTTATCTTATAATCGCTTTACAAAATAAATAAATAAAAATAAACTACCTCCTGCAAATGGCTGTGCAGATTGGCATTGATTTGCTCAACCTTGGAAGTTTTAAAATGTGTGGACTTCAACTCTCAGCATTCCCATCCCAACGTTGAGAAACACTGACTTACATAAATAATCTAAGAACTAGCAAAGATGCTGCGGGATAGTGGCTTCTTGTCTGGTACTCTCCAATGGCTGCAGCTGATACTATCTCTGTTTGTATCACATACAGTTGTTGTCTGGAGTGTTTAGTGTCTTTTTTCCTTCTTAGAAAAATTTTGTATTCAAGAAGCAGCATTTTCTGTATTTTGACAGTCCTTCCTGAATTTCAGCAGGCACTGCTAACATTCTCAAGATGAGGTGTGATGCTTTCCATTTTAGCCTTGCTGCAGATCTAGCTGGTTAAACAGCAGCAAATTGATTTTTCCGAAGCCACTCAAGTGGCTTCAATAATTCAATCTGAATATTTGTAGCAGAAGACCAAAATGTTTAGCCAACAATAGAGGAATTAAATGTCAATGTTCTGGGGATCTGTATTAATCAAAAATATTACCCTGTTCTTTTGTTCTGAGCAAATTAACATGCTCCCGACCTGTACATCCCCAGAGTTCAATTCATTAAAAAGAAAATGCAGGAAGATCCATTGCAATTTAAATGTAAAATGGAATGTCAATACGATAATGACAATATATTATCTCTTCTCCTCCCTGTTGTATCCTTATAACAACCTTTGAGATTAAGAGTTGTTAATGCCTCCAAATCACAGAATATATCTTGACTGTGAAGGCCTAGGCCAAGGGACAAACTGGGCAGCAACTTCTTTTATTTTCTTGTTCAGCAAATAGATTTTAATTGCTCATAGATTTGTTCCTTTTTTTTTGTCTGCTGAAAAGTCCAGAAATATTTCATAAGAAGAGTTCTCCACTCCTCTACTCATAGCAGAATACCTTATGCCACCAGACTTGAAATTTTAGACCTAGACAACCTAGAACTACGACCCCTTTGGTCCCATCTAACTATAGTACATAAAATTATACATTGCAATGTCCTACCTGTCAATGAATACTTCAGCTTCAACCATAACAATACAAGAGCAAACAATAGATACAAACTCAAGGTAAACCACACCAAACGTGATTGCAGGAAATACGACTTCAGCAACAGATTGGTCAATGTCTGGAATACTCTATCTGACTCTTGGTTTCTTCCCCAAACCCCAAAAACTTTAACCTTAGACTGTCTACTATTGACCTCACTCCTTTCCTAAGAGATCTGTAGGGGGCGTGCCTAAGCGCACCAACGTGCCTACCATCCCTGTCCTGTTGCTTCTTTTTATTTTTCTTATATGTATCCATTTCATATATTCATAGCTATGTTTATACTTATACCTGTTATCTTATAATCGCTTGACTAAATAAATAAATAAATAAATGGGAAATAATATACAGACGAGAAACCTTCCTCGAAGACCTGAGTTGAAAGGGTAGACTTTTTTTTCCCTACTCTTCCTCTATGAATGGTATCATCTTTACTCCTCATCCTTCAGCAGGTAGTCTATACCTCCTGCAGGAATTTAGCACTTAGATGTCTTGTCTCTTTTACAGCAGTGTTTCCCAAGCTTAGCCATTTTCAGGGGTATGGGTTTTAGTTGCCAGAATTCTTATCAGTGGCCCTGCAGGCTGAGGAATTATGGAAACTGAAGTCCACAGACTCCAAAATGAGCACGGTTGGGAAGCACTGTTCTAGAACAGAGGTGTCAAACTGGCGGCCCATGGGCTGGATGCTGTCACTCACAGGCCACGCTCACCCTAGCTCCGTTAAGGGTAAAAATGTTGTGATACATCATGTGAGAGCAATGTGACACCTCGAGTTTGATACCCGTGTTCCTGAGTATACACCTATCATCCTTAGAGTTGTGGTTCCTCTTAGATATGCCATGTAATCTTTCTCTCTCTCAATGCTTTTATTGAAAAAGTACTTTCCACAACTAATTCATTTTTCAAACATATTTATCGACAGGCTAAATCTGCATCAGGGTTCAGACTAGAAGCTGAGAAGCCGCTCATCTTGTCATCTGAGAAATCTCTACCAGAAAGGTAAATGCCTTTTCAAATTAAGGTCTCTTCTGCATATGGAAAGAAGACAGTCAACAAAAGTTTCTATGAGGGTTCAGAGCTCGAGATAGAAGGGAATCTTGTCCTATCCTGTTCACCATCTGAATTAAGAAAAAATTCCCCCTGTCTTGGGGCAGAAGCAGAGTTTCCTTGCAACCTGGGGATTTGACAATAGAGCTATATATAGGCCGTAGCAGTATTTTCCCAGCATCTGCTTGCCTGCTGTATTTCTTAAAAGCTGTAAACTTTGAAGATATTTGTCTGCTGTTTAGCTGTGCCCTCCCTAAGAGAAAGGAGGAAAAACATGTTTCCTTTCTTTGTCCTCTCCCCTTCCCTCTGTTCCTTGTCTTTCCTTCCTCTGGCGGCGTTCAATTTTTGTGTTGCAAAGTATGTACAAGATACAATGTCCAGTCTGAGAAAGAAAATTGCTTGCTTTGGATACTGATTAATTGCCATATGATGGAGACATAGTAGGAGTTCCGTTCAGCTAATCTGTTCTGCCATAAATAGCCAAGAAATACCTATCTCTGGGATAGCTTTTATCCGTGGGTGCTACTACGGAGATTTATATGCAGCATGGCTGGTGGGGGAATTCTGTGAGTTGCAACTCACACATCTTAAATTGCCAAGGTTGAGAAAATTAGTATACAGGTTGATTTAAATTAAAACATTTGCCCTAGAATTTTCTATTTCCAGTTGGTGACCAAGGGAAACCTTGCTGTTGCAGGAAATAGTGTGCTATTCCTTTCTGAACCCTGTTTTTGAGATTCAGCAAAGGAAGGAGTGATAACAGTGCACTATGTAGTATCTAGTCTGTTTCTGTCTGCTAGTGGGACAAAAAGATTTGTTGACTTTGCAGCAATTGCATTTCCCTCAGATCTGAAGCTTCCTGAACAAATATGTTGCTTTCACACAATTGTGAAGGGGTGGGAGGTGGGGGAGACAACATCAGGGGAAATCCTGTTGCAGGAGAGGAAATCTGCTGTTGTAATATTAGAGGGAGACTTCAATATGGATGTAGCCCCAGGATGACCTTTGGAAGCTGAGTGCACAACTTTTTTCTCTTATGATTAAAAAAAAAAAAAAAGGCAGCCTCTGAAATATTAGGGGAGTGGCTTTGGAATTTAAGCTAGCAAATTTGCTGCTAAACAGGTAGAACTTTTCACCTAAAGCATGATAAATTCAGGGAGGAGCCATAATACCACCAGGAATTAATGAGATCATTTAGAAAGCATGATGACTTGCCTGTGCTGATTTTATTGACCATTTTAAAAAGTTACGTGTGAAATAAGATTGATCAAAGTTTATTTATCATTTACTTATTTATTCAATTTTTATTTCTGCCCATCTCAAACAAATGAAGTTTGGACTTTCCACATTTGTATTTTCTTTTTTAAAGCAGAAATTACAGGGAGCTCCATATTTAGTTGCAACTTCAGGACAAGAGAAAATGTGGATTGCCTGTCTGTCCAATCCTGGTTTACAAGCCTAGGGCTCCTGTTCTGTTGTGCAGAGAACTGCTACTATTGTTGTTGTTGTTGCTGCTGCTGCGGCTGCATGCAGAACCCAAAGATCTTCCCAAGAATGAATGAAGCTCAGTAATTGGTTCATCTGATCCAGTATTATCCATTCGGACTAGCAATTGGATCTCTGGAGTTTTGGGCCGATATTTTTCTGTCTCCATCTGGGTGTACCATGGATTGATGTCCTCTACCAAAGTTATTAAATCCATAAATCCAGAGTTTGCAGGAGTTTGTCACAGTTGATCGTGTTCGCCACAGAAGTTACAAGAGCAAAGGGGAAGGACCATGGAAGAAGCTACAGGCTTAGCTTCTGTCCACTTCCACTCGATGCTACTGGTTGGAGGAACTGATGTGACCTTTTCTAACAACCTGTTGGAGCACTGCCCCATATCAATCTGTATGTCCACACCCTCACTTCGTTTACTTTATTTAAAAGGCTTATATTCTGGTCCATTCTCAAGATCCTGGGTGGTTCACAGTAATAATATGCCCAAATAATATTTTTTCTATCTAATTAAAACACATCAAAATATGCTGCCTTCTAAGTCACTCCAATGGATTGGGATGGAGAGGAAAGGAAACTTCTAAGTGGAACTTCATTTGTGTAACATTTTATCATCATAATCATAAAACATCATATGTAATATTAACTTTTTATTTGTACAGAAGGAATATTACTTGTAGCAGTTCATGCCCTAACTCGTCTCACAGATTTTGTCAGCCTGTTGCCCAAGGATACCCCAATGGGATGCATTCGCTCCATCCACACCTGGTCTTGATATCCTCCCACATTCCTGCATATGAGGTAAAACTTTATAGAATTTGTCTTTCCAGTTTTCCTCCATGGGGCTGAATGAGATGTCTTCTTCCCTTTTGTACTTATAAGGAGAAGCGATGAATCAAATATATCGAACCAATCAAACAACAGAAAATCTGCTAGGTCAAAAAGGCAAAACACAAGGATCCAAACTAAATGGAAATATATTTCATATGTCAATATATTTTAATATACTGTATGAACCAGAGATAGTATTTAGCAGGTTCTGACCTGTTCTGGAGAACTGGTAGCGGAAATTTTGAGCATTTCAGAGGACCTGACTGGCCCCAACGCTATCTATTCTCTAGTCCCAGCTGATCGACTACATCTTTTTTATTGCCCGGCACAGGAGAATGGAGTTGGAAAGCAGGTTAGTGGGGTAGGGCAGGGGTCCCCAACCACCAGGCCGTGGACCGGTCCCGGTCTGTGGAACATTTCCTACTGGGCCGCTGGTTTGCTGGGCGCCGCCATCTTGTTTGACGATAAAGTGCTTCTGGGTGAGCTTTTCTGGTTGGAAAGCGGCGTTTGGGTCCTGAAGGAATCCTTGCGCCTTAGTTTCATCGAAGGGGGGGGGGGCTTTGAATGAAACTAAGGCACGAGGATTCTTTCAGCACCCAAGGCAAGGCGAGCCCAGCGACCATCCCGAAGCCGTCCCGAAGCGAAGCCCATCGACAAAGGTACAAAGGAGGAGTTGAAGGTGGCAGGGAGAAGCGGGGGACGGCTGGCTGGCTGGTCGCTAGGCTGGCCTTGCCTTGTCATGCGTGCTGATGCTGGTAACGGGCTGTGGATCATTTTGTGATGCTGGTACCGGGCCATGGCACAAAAAAGGTTGGGGGCCACTAGGGTAGGGGAATGGGATTTTGCAGTAACTTTCCCCCAGGACTGGGGATGAAATGGAGATTTTGCAGTATCCTTTCCCTGCCAAACCCACCAAGCCATGCCCACCAAGCCAAGCCACACCCACCAAGCCACGCCCACAGCACCAGTAGTAAAAACATTTGAATACTACCACTGGTATGAACTAAAATTGGGGAGGAGTGAAAAACAGAAAGAAAGCCAGTTCTTTGTAGCCTTTCCATCATATATTTGCATTGTGTTGAAAACTTTAAAGGCTAGTTCTCCAAGATGAATAAGTATGTTAAACTCAGTTGGCTGATTAACAGAGCCTTCTGACTCATTTTTGTGATGGGCATTCTTCTAATGCATAAGGAAATATTGGAGAAAGGCCTTCTAGAAGACCGGTGGTGGTGCAGTGGTTAGAATGCAGTACTACAGCTAATTTTGGTGACTGCCAGCTGCCTGCTGTTTGGCAGTTCAAATTTCACCAGGCTCAAGGCTGACTCAGCCTTCCACCTGAGGTCGGTAAAATGAGGACCCAAATTGTTGGGGGCAATATGCTGACTCTGTAAACCACTTAGAGAGGGCTAGAAAGCACTGTGAAGCACTATACAAATCTAAGTGCTACTGCTATTGCTATTTCGTGTCAAACTAATAAACTTTGAAAGATGCCATCTAAAACAGGAGGAAATAGCATTATGTTTCTTAAACTGTGCATATACATGCAATGGTGGGGTTTGTTGCCATTCTTCCATATTTGCATGTGATTTATTTTATTTCAATACTGAATTTTAAAAACAGTTTAGGAGAGTAAACCACAGTTTACAGTAGATGTTTGTTGGCTAACTGCAACTGTGGCTTAGCATGAACATGGTTTATTGTGTGCATGGGGTGGAATCATTCTTTGAGTTCTTTTGGTACTTTACCTAAGCCTCAGAAGTGCAAGTAGCTTTGAAAAGTATAGTTATTAGACTATTTTCTGGACATTAGTCTTGTTTTTTCTAATTTGGCAGCTAGAAAATTGTTAACATTACTTAATGGTGGTACAAAATCAACAACTAGAATATTGGCTAGTCAGTCCTGTGCAGAAAAACACCACTTTTGAAGCCAATATAATGATTATCAATAGACTAGTGGTTCAACTGCTAGTGTGGGTTGTTATCTATAAAGTCCTACATGGCATAGCAGCCTGTTATATTGGGTGATAGCTTGGTGGAGTGAAATCTCCCCACCCAATTTAACCATGGGAGAGTCTATTTAGAGATCCTCATCCCTTTGTGAAGAAAAAGTTGGAGGTGGTGGCTGGACCTCTTAGCAGTAGCCCATTTTATAAATATATCTCTCCATTGAGTTACATGTGACTCCCACCTCTTTGTAAGCAAGTGAAAACAATATTATTCCATCACGTCCTTACACCGAACTAAGGGATAGGGATACCATTATGAGTATTTTGATGGGTTTTGTAGCAGTCTTGTAGTACTGTTTTAACTAGTCTGCTGGGCATAGTGTGACCTAGAACTGCAAAAAAATAAAAATAAAAATCAGCCAACCAAGACCAATCTCCTTATGCTGCGTCTCCTGTAAAGTCATGGAATCAATTATTAACCAATCCATCATCCTCCACTTAGAGACAAACAACCTACTCTCCAATAAACAATTTGGTTTCAGAAAAAAACTATCCTGTAATCTGCAACTGTTACACTGCAAAAACATATGGACTACACAACTTGATCAGGGCAAAACAATAGATGCAATCTACATAGACTTCTGTAAAGCCTTTGATTCAGTGGTACATGACAAACTACTACTAAAAATAAAATCCTATGGTATCTCTGGACAACTGCATAACTGGATAGAAGCATTCCTGTCAAACAGACAACAAATGGTCAAAATTGGGAGCGTCCTATCAAATTCTGTACCTGTCAATAGTGGTGTCCCCCAAGGCAGTGTTCTAGGACCAACTCTCTTCATACTCTACATAAATGACCTCTGTGATCATATTAAGAGCAACTGCGTTCTTTTCGCTGATGATGTAAAGCTGTTCAATACCACAGACAATACTGCTACCCTTCAAAAAGATCTTGACTGTGTATCAGAATGGTCAAACAAATGGCAACTTCAAATCTCAACAAATAAATGCTCTGTCTTACATATTGGCAAAAAAAATCCGAAAATAAAATACAAGCTGAATAGTCAAGATCTTGTTGATGATCCAAGCTCTGTAAAGGACCTTGGAATACTCACCTCTAATGATCTAAGTGCTAGAGCCCACTGCAACTACATAGCCAAAAAGGCATTAAGAGTTGTTAACCTAATCTTACGTAGCTTTTTCTCTGGTAATATCACACTACTAACTAGAGCATACAAAACATTTGCTAGACCAATACTCGAATACAGCTCATCAGTCTGGAACCCACATTACGTATCTGATATTAGCACAATTGAGAAAGTCCAGAAATATTTCACAAGAAGAATTCTCCACTCCTCTACTCATTGTAGAATACCTTATGCCACCAGACTTGAAATTCTAGAACTAGAAAACCTTGAATTACGCCGTCTTCGGTCTGACTTAAGCATGGTATATAAAATCATACATTGCAATGTCCTACCTGTCAATGAATACTTCAGCTTCAACCATAACAACACAAGAGCACACAACAGATACAAACTCAAGGTTAACCGCACCAAGCTTGATTGCAGGAAATACGACTTCAGCAACAGAGTGATCAATGTCTGGAATACTCTACCTGACTCTGTAGTTTCTTCCCCAAACCCCAAAAACTTTAACCTTAGACTGTCTACTATTGACCTCACCCCTTTCCTAAGAGGTCTGTAGGGGGCGTGCATAAGCGCACCAACGTGCCTACCGTCCCTGTCCTATTGTTTCTTTTATTTTTTTTTATTTTTCTTATATGTACCCATTTCATGTATTCATAACTATATATACACTTATACTTATTATCTTGTAAACAATTGACAAATTAAATAAAATAAAAATAAAATAAATAAATAAATAAATAAATAAAATAGACCTTCTGTGCAGAATATGTGGCTCGGAATAATGGATAAATTAATTTATAGGAAGGTAGAATATAGAAAAGGAAAATGTCCTGAGTCTAAGAGTACTTTAATAATGGAACCAATCTCAGCAGCTGCATTTGATGATTTCAATTATATTTTCCACTCTGTTTTTCTATGAGTAATTCATTTTATGAATACGTTTAACATTTTCCTTTTGTAGTCATAAAAATGAATTGTATCCAATAACAAGAACTTTCAAATATAGCACAATGTGAGAATGTCTTTAGACTGATGGAATTCATTCACTGCACTAAACATGTTTGCTTTTAATTTGAAAGCTATGTTCTTACTTGTTGTTTTCTTCCAATTTTACTTCAGATGTTTGTGGACAGTGTTAAGCCTGGTGTGGTTCTGATAGTCTATGAACATATTGGGACCACGCTGGAAAGCCTTATTCATTCAGTAGAAAGGGCCTTGGATGGCCAAATAGCAAAGAGTATTGGGATCATTAGTGATGGAGATTCCAGAGAGATTAACTTGCTTCAAGGTAAGGTTAAGTTAAAATAATAACTATCTTGAATGGGTGATATGATATTTTGTACTGAAATATTACAAGGAAGAGTTGGAGTATGTCAAAATGATTTCCCCTAAGACTCTGAGTTATTGAGAGACACATTGCAAGCTATATTGATTTACCTGTGTTCTAGCTGATTATGGAAAACAAATCTCTTCCAGAAAAAAAGATAACTATATAAAATATTATTGTTAAAATATTTTTAAATTACTAACAGCAAAAATTACTCAACTGACAAATATATCCATGTACAGTATAGAAGTAGTCAAGTATAGATTTTAAAAAAACATTTCTGTTGGAAGGATACTGGAGAAAATAATGCAGAATTGATTAGGAAATGGAGGAATAGAAAACCTAATCAGATCTGAAATTGACCAAATAGAAAATTTTATTAGGAAACTATGGGTTTTCTTTGTTTGTTTCGATTCAATTAAGGGCCAGCACCTAATTGATCTTGGTTGATCTCAAAAAGCTAAGCAGGCTTAGACCTGATCAATATTTGAAATGGAAATTTCAAGATGATAAATTTCCCTTCTTACAACTTTGTTGCTGTTGTTTTTCTTGGTTAAGAGGTTATATTATCTTCTGAGTGTGAAATTTAATTATTTTTGACTTGGCCTAATAATATTTCTCTAATTTTGTCATCCTCCACTGACATTTAAAGACCATAAAGTATAGCAAGTTATTTTTGATAATCATAACTTCCATAACTAGTTTTTAATCATCAATCTTTCCTTTTTTTTCTGTGACTTATAGTGGTAGAAGCATGAAGTAGTTTAAAAATGCATTAATTTCTTCACTTCCCAGTAACTTGATTTGCTCTCATTGTTCAATATAAGGCATATTTCCTTACTTAGGAAAAATACAAACAATATTTCATGTAGAAGTCTATCTTTCCTCAGCCTTTTATTAGCTTTATTGGATTTTAAATACTTTTAAAAAGTAGATAACCTGCTAAAATAAGAGAATATTTGGGAAAGTAGAACAGAAAGAGAATATCAGACAACAAGAAAGCACAAAGAAATGTTTTTTCTGCCAGCCCAAGAATTAAAAACTTGCAAAACTCATATATATTATACTAACAAGATATTCTTGCCCTGACTTCTTGGATAATCTTTATATATCATCATTAATGCAGATTGCAATTTGCAAAGGAAGAAAGATTTTGCTGGTTCCTGCCTCAGTTTGATTAGAATCTAAAAATATATGCAAAAAGGATCAGGAAGAGGGAAACAGGACAATTCTTACACATTTCCTACACTTGGAAAAGATTATTGTGGCTCTAAAGTTAAGAAATAGGCTCCAACTTATTGGTATCAGTGATATATGTCAATCTTATAACTTCTTAAAAAATAGAGCCATAGGAGTTTGGGCATCTGAAGAGTAAAGATAGCAAAATTGGAGTCTGGCATTTTACTTGTACGTCTTCTAGAAAAAAAAAATTGAATTGGTCAATACTTCCTGATGAAGTATAGTAGTAGAATCTTTTTGCAGTTCAAGACAGTTGAGACCCTGAATATTGTCCATTCACCTTAAATGCATCCTTTGCTTAATTTTATTTAGGTTACAAAATCAATGCCTCAAATCTTCTTAAACCTGAGATGCGAGAGTTTTGGAAGCGCTTAAAAAGTTGCGTTATCTCTCCAGAAGAAGGTGGAAGCATAGACCTCTTTGTTCCTCTGGCAGCTTCAGGTCAGTCCAGCTTACCACCCAGAAAAATTGGCATCTTTCCCTTTGTTTACAATAGATCTAATCAAACAGGAAACTCCTTTGATTTGGTTGGGGCTTCAAAGGAGCTACCATATGTTATGAAATGGTTAATTATGTGGCCACAAATCATGAATGGTTTTGCTTCTTTCCTCTTCCTTCCCAAACCTTTTTCCTTTGGGCTGTGCCTTTTACATATTAGCCAGCAAGTGGGCGTTATCACCACTTACTAATGCTTTCAAGTCATTTCCACAATACAAACATAACCAGAGACATACATTGGTCAAAAAATCAAGATGTTGGCTGTAGCCATGTGATTGAAGCCCCAAGGCTTGTGTGTGTGTGTGTGATTGCTTTGGGATCACCAATTTGCACCCTCATACCCCTGAGTATAAGTTCATTTAATTTAGCTTCACCTAGCAAAATATTTGAGGTATCCTCAGCTGTATCAGAATTGGTCTTCAAGAGCCAAAGACTCTGAGAGTTGGTTCAAGGGCCAAAGACTAAGATATTGTTTGTGCATCTTTTCACTTTCTGATTAAAAAAGAAAGAAGGGATGGATAAAAAGGCCCAGGAATCCAATTTTCTCTTATGCCCTAGCTTCCTCCTCTATTTATTTATAGGATGTCCTGTGAAGAGTCCTTATCATCCTGTAAAATAAATAATATATATTATTCACCGGCTATTACACCGGTGTAATTACTCATCTCACCTGCCCACCTCCATACAGTATTGTTATCACAGTATTGTTATAATGCAAGGCAGAGATCTGTGATGCAGGCTCAGTCAACAGAAATAGCACAAAAGTATAATAAAATATGAGGAGCGAAGAGAAAGTAAAAGGCCCATGATGATTAGAAACATTAATCTGAGTGATTTTCCCCCCATAATGTCCATAACACCTCATTGTGAATCTATTCCAGAAGGAGTAGTAATCCTGTGAGATCACAGTAATTGGGTCAAGAAAAGATCTCCTTCGCCTTATTCTTTCAAAAAGGCAGTAAACTGAGGGGAAAGTAACACCACATTTCTTGTGGGCTACTGATTGCTCAACACAGAGCATGTGTTTTCCTATCTCCACAAGGAACGGGCAACTGCATTCATCCACTCTTATGCTGGTGTTTATTTTAGGGTTGCAATTGCCACATTCTACATTTTTTCCCAAATGTTTATTAAAAGTTTGAATTAAACAATAGAAGATAATAAAGACTAAAAGAAAAAAAATGCAAGAAAATAAATGTATAAAGGAAAAAAAATCCTTCTCGCTAAGAAAATGTTCCGTTACCCTCTTCATGGCAAGTAGACAGTAAAGAATCCCAAATCTCACCTGCCCACTTCCTCTTAGCTAACAAATATAAAACTCTTCATCTCATCACCTATTTCTTAACAATAAGCAAACCAAATAAGTAACTATGTTTTCAATAAAGTTACCAGCAAAAGATCCAAGCAGAGGTCTAAATTTTTAATCAACATATATAAAACTCAACATTCCTCATCTTGTCTTGTAACTATAGGCTGTCCTCGACTTATGGCCACAATTGAGCTGGAAATTTCTATTGCCAAACAAAACAGTTGTTAAGTGAATTGTGCCCTATTTTAAAACCTTTTTTGCCACAATTGTTAAATGAATCACTGTTGTTAAGTGGATCATGTGGTTGACTTTGCTTGTCGGAAGCCAACTGGGAAGGTTACAATAGGTGATCACATGACCCCAGGACAGTGTCACTGTTATAAATATGAAACAGTTACCAAGCATTTGGATGTTAATCATGTAAGCATAGGAAGGCTGCAATGGTCATAAGAGTGAAAACCAGTCAAAAGTCACTTTTTTCAGTGCCGTTGTAACTGTGAATGATCATGAAACAAATGCTTGTAAGTTGAGTGTATAACAAAATACCATTGAAAGTCAAGAAATGGTCCCAATATTCTAATATAAACAAAATAAAAATCTGAAATTTAACATGAGAAAAGGAACCATTTCTCCATCACAAAAGACCAGCCCCAATCCACAACATTTCAAATAACATCTTATCCTCAAATTCATGCTATACTTTTAAACAATTACTTTAATCGTTTTCAGAGGCAGGAAAAGAGATCCTTTCACAGCTGACTCATCTAACTGGAGCATTCTTCAGGACTCCTACAGGAATAGCTACTGGGTCTTATCAGCACAGTAGGTGGAGAAAATTCCTACATATTTGGGAAGATCTACATCAAACATTTGACAGGTGGCCATATTTTAAATCAGCTGCATCCAATCTTACTTTCCTCAAAGTTGCTGGGCCCAGGCAGAAGCTTCAGCAGAATTAATATGTATGTAGCTTAGATTTTTAGTGGATGAAATTGCTAATTACATTTGCTGGCAGAGAACTATTGCCAATCAGAAATTGACATATCAAGTTTAAGGATCAGAGATCTGAATTGGCCCAATGAACAGATGCAAATTGAATTTTGTAATGGGATCCTGAAATAATCTAAACAAACAGCAGCAGGTTCTTCTAGATCTTCTTAGCAATACTAAGAAGACCATTGAAATTGCTAGATGAACTATTATGATGACACTGTAAAACAATGTTGTCTGTAAATGCACGTATGCTTCCAAATGTTATTAAATTACAAGAAGTCCAAGCAATAGGTTTTGAATAGGGGAAACTGGAAGAAAGAGAAACAAATTTAATTATGATACACCATTAATACTAATATTTTATGTCAGAAGTACCAAAGTGCTTCTATGGCTAAAGGATTTGCCAGTAACATCATCATTGCCTGATGGGTGCCCAGTTGGAGACTCCTTTCATGTCCTTGTGATGTTGCCCACTGAAGTGATATCCATTTATATACTTGCAATTATTCATTTTCAAACTGCTGTGTCGGTGAGAGCTGGAGTGAGTAACAGGACCTCATCCTGTCCTACAGCAGCAAGGATCTCAAACATGAGACAGCTGATCATCAGCCCAGTATTCTAACCTCATGACCCACCGTGTTCCTACTACAACATTTATATGCAGCTTTGCTTTATTTTCCAGGGGGTTTTAATACAGAAAAATTTTAAAAATTAGCAATTTCTTATTTGCTAACAACATTGGTGCTCCCCAAATATTAGCTAATTCTGGTTTTGAGGGGGAGGGGAGTGGAGAGATTGGAACATAAGAAATAGTCCATGGACAGGGAAATGACTTTTGTGTTATTACAGTTCTCAGTGAATGGCTAGGAAGTCAGACAGGAAGTTCTCCTCCGTTTCTCTACCTCACTGAAGTAAAACTGCAAATATGGCTCAGATTCACCGAGCTGCTGGAAGAGGCCCTGGATGTTGTCAGGAAAAAGCTGAGTCCATATTTTTTTGATTTGCAAAAGAACATGACTGGCAAAATTCTTGGTAATTTTTCTCATTATGGTCCTCTATGTTATATCTGAAATAAGAATTCCATTGGATATTTTAGACTTTTTGCCAGTATAAAAATGCATCCTACCTTAGTAATGGTGTTTGGTTTACTACAAATGCAGATGATGTTTTTTGGCCTGACCTGCACATTATAGACGTGGATTTTTCCATGTTGTTTATTTGTGCATGCTTGTATGGCTTTAAGTCAACGTTGACTCCTGGCAATGGCCTGGACACGCCCCTGCAGTTTTATTGGGAATATGTTTGCCCTTGCATCTTTCTTAGGGGTGAGAAAGAATGCCTAGACCAAAGTCAGCCAACTGGCTTCATGCTTAAAATGGGACCTAAATTCAGTTTTCTGTTTTCTAGCCTGGAATGTTAATCACTATTGCAATGTGGCTCTCTATTTATGTGTAAAATCTCATTAATGAGTTTGACTCCTGTTCAAATACTCATCAGGTTCAATGCTGTTTAGTTGCTGGCAGTCATCTAGATTTGACTAGATGCTATCAACTAACTCTCTGTGTCTGGATCTGTGTATGTGCACGCGCAAGTAACTGGGTAATCAGAATATGCAAAATAATCTAGTTTAAAGGGAATTTTTGTCCCCCTTTAAACAAAACGATGTAATGACAAGTAGCAACCCTGTGAGTGTGACATCTTAAAGTAACTAATATTTCATACACAGGTCAAATTATGTTTAATACTATGAGTTGGTACGATATTCAAGACAACGGAAGAATAATCCAGACTTTGGCTAATGGATTAGTTGAACTCTCAAGAGGAAACCACGTATGATAAGTGTAATCTTTTAAAGTACTATATATTAAGTTGCAATGCCATCAGTTTTGACTTCAGGACTTATTTGGAGTCCTTCTGTTGGCATCAATATCTATCTTTAAGACAATGTGGTGGGTGATTACAATTGCTAGGAGGGCAGGGTAATATTACTTTGTGGTGGTCCTGAAAACCAGGAGCTAAAACCCTGGTTCTATGCACAAAGTATCACTAAGATAGTCACACCATTGCAATCCCCTTGACACTACTGTTTCTTGCATCTATGTGGGATCATATCTAAGATGCAAGAAACAGTGCATGGAATAAATATCTCTGTGAATGCACTTACTAGTCTGATAACCATTATGCCCCTTTTCCAAAAATCTTCCGGGATGTGTGTGTGTGTGAGCAGAACAGGGAAAACCTGGCAGCATCTTTGTTTACAGCAGTGGTCTTCAAACTTGACAACTTTAAGGCTTGTGGACTTCAACTCCCAGAATTCCTCCTCCAGTCATGTTACCTTAGGAATTCTAGGAGTTGAAGTCCACAAGTCTTAAACTTGCTAAGTTTGAAGAACTTTGGTTTACAGCAAGGGTCTTCAAACTTGGCAACTTTAAGGCTTGTGGACTTCAGCTCCCAGAATTCCTGAGCTAACATGACTGGAGGAGGAATTCTGGGAAAGTCCACAAGTCTTAAAGCAGTCAAGTTTGAAGATCCCTAGTTTACAGGCTAAGTGAGTTATTATAGCATCCATTTTAGTAGATGTCCCTATCTCAGATCTACCTAATGTGTCTTATAGTCCTCTTCATAAGTTGATCACACACAGAAGGGTATAAAAGAAGATTGAAACTATGCTTCCTATTCCAGTACTACGGCATTTATGCACTTAGTGCCACATTTACAAAGCAATACTATACACAGTCCACTCTGTGCAAAAAACAGAAGTGCAGAACATGTTAATCTCTTCCTTTTTCTGCATAATTGTTTTTTTTAGATAACAGCTGAAGAGTACTTAAGATGCATGCAGTGATAAGCAGGAAAGTAATTAGAAAGGCTAGGAATTCTATGTTTTGACACAATGCAAATAGCTTTAATTTAATTTAGCTAATGAAGAAGAATTCTCTCTATTGAGCAACCATCCAAAAAGTACTTTCCTATCCCTGGGCTTCTGTAAAGGTAAATACATGCCCTGTTACAGTTGCCCTCAGCTGTTGTTGCTTTGAGAACAAATTGTCACCAGTATCTTATCGCACAGGAGACTGCTACAAAGGAAGCCTCCTTAAGCAGCTGAATGAAGTTAATCTGCCCTGTGTTTTTCCATATCTTCTGCATCTATGTGCATGTGCATGATATCCACTATTCTTAGCATGTGACGAAGTATGAACCTGATCATTTTGTCATGTGTTTCTACAGCCTTTCTTTATATGTGTCTTGGGAGAAATGATTCAAGATGAATTACCTGGTGAAAGTGTAGAATCATGCCATAACTTGCTACTCTGGTACAACCTGGATCAAATTTACCAGTATTAAAATGAAAGGAAATAGTTGAAACCTTATCTGTACTTACTCTCTTACTACTTGATTGGCAGTGGCTGTATCTGCAGGAAAGGAAACAATAGGCATATTATTTTAAGCATTTATCTATATGATTCCTTAGGAAAACCCCCTGGAATTTCTTTCATCTTTCCTCATGAAGAAATGTAAGAATGGAGAACTTGGAGACCAAGATTTCTTGACTGAGGACACTTCAGAATCAGGGCTTGATGTGCTACTTAAGGTACAAAAGAATCAATTGTTGGTTTTTCGCTACTCCTGTAATTTTTAGTTTGTCCTTGTTCTGTTCAAAAGCTTTTTCTTGACAAAGATGAAAGATAAGTGGTTTGTCATGAGATCTGAATGATTTGATGGATCACTACTTCAGTTTTTTTTTAGGGGGTATTGTTAGAATAATTTTATATCCTAGTATTGAAAAGAAGGTAATATGTAATTTTATTAAAAAGATATTTGCACTGTAATTCTCTGCTTCAGAATTCATAAAATTGAACTCATGTATAATGTACACTGCTCAAAAAAATAAAGGGAACACAAAAATAAGACATCCTAGATCTGAATGAATGAAACATTCATTCAAATACTTTGTTCATTACATAGTTGAATGTGCTGACAACAAACTCACACAAAAATTAGCAATGGAAATCAAATTTAGCAACCCATGGAGGTCTGGATTTGGAGTTACACTCAAAATTAAAGTGGAAAAAAACACTACAGGCTGATCCAACTTTGATGTAATGTCATTAAAACAAGTCAAAATGAGGCGCAGTAGTGTGTGTGGCCTCCACGTGCCTGTATGACCTCCCTACAATGCCTGGGCATGCTCCTGATGAGGTGGCGGATGGTCTCCTGAGGGATCTCCTCCCACACCTGGACTAAAGCATCCCCCAACTCCTGGACAGTCTGTGATGCAATGTGGCGTTGGTGGATGGAGTGAGACATGATGTCCCAGATGTGCTCAATTGGATTCAGGTCTGGGGAATGAGAGGGCCAGTCCATAGCATCAATGCCTTCATCTTGCAGGAACTACTGACACACTCCAGCCACATGAGGTCTAGCATTGTCTTGCATTAGGAGGAACCCAGGGCCAACCACACCAGCATATGGTCTCACAAGGGGTCTGAGGATCTCATCTCGGTACCTAATGGCAGTCCGGCTACCTCTGGCGAGCACATTGAGGGCTGTGCGGCCCCCTAAAGAAATGCCACCCCACACTATTACTGACCCACTGCCAAACCGGTCATGCTGGAGGATGTTGCAGGCAGCAGAACGTTCTCCATGGCGTCTCCAGACCCTGTCACGTCTGTCACGTGCTCAGTGTGAACCTGCTTTCATCTGTGAAGAGCACACGGCACCAGTGGCGAATTTGCCAATCTTGGTGTTCTCTGGTAAATGCCAAATGTCCTGCACGGTGTTGGACTGTAAGCACTACCCTCACCTGTGGACATCAGGCCCTCATAGCACCCTCATGGAGTCTGTTTCTGACCGTTTGAGTAGCCACATGCACATTTGTGGCCCACTGGAGGTCATTTTGCAGGGCTCTGGCAGTGCTCCTCCTGTCCCTCCTTGCACAAAGGTGGAGGTAGCGGTCCTGATGCTGGGTTGTTGCCCTCCTATGGCCTCCTCCATGTCTCCTGATGTACTGGCCTGGTAGTGCCTCCATGCTCTGGACACTACACTGACAGAAACAGCAAACCTTCCTGCCACAGCTCGCATTGATGTGCCATCCTGGATGAGCTGCACTACCTGAGCCACTTGTGTGGGTTGTAAACTCCATCTCATGCTACCACTAGAGTGAAAGTACAGCCAGCATTCAAAAGTGACCAAACCATCAGACAGAAAGCATAGGAACTGAGAAGTGGTCTGTGGTCACCACCTGCAGAACCACTCCTTTATTGGGGATGTCTTGCTAACTGCCTATGCTTTCCACCTGTTGACCATTCCATTTGCACAACAGCATGTGAAATTGATTGTCAATCAGTGTTGCTACATAAGTGGACAGTTTGATTTCACAGAAGTGTGATTGACTTGGAGTTACATTGTGTTGTTGTAAGTGTTCCCTTTATTTTTTTGAGCAGTGTATATGTTTCCAGCATGGAAACTTTAATGACTGAAGTGGCCTATTGTAGCTAGTGCTGTGCAAGCCAAAGTTATTTCAGTAGCTCATGCAAACAAATATCTAAACGTGAAATAGCATATTGAACTCTTCAGATCAGTTGTGCCAATCTTGAAATAAATGAATGAGAACAAGTAACGAGCAGTACTATACATTTTGATTCAAAAGCAAAGCCCAAGGTTTAATATCCCAGGTAAGCACCTGTAATGCCGAGTCTAAAGAGGCTTTTGAAGTAAAAGCAATATGTTTGAATCTCCTTATGGTTGGATATGTGAAAAGATGCTTCCAAGCTGCATTGCCAAAAATCAGATAGTAACACACTACATCAGGCTTTAGATGGTTAAAATAACGTTAAAAAAAAAAGTTGTCTCTCTCTCTTTGACATTTAGATAGATGAACCTCAAGATGTGATAGAAAAGCGCCAAAGCTTTGCCAGAGAACTTCTCTTAAGTGAGAGAAGCTACGTGCACATCCTTGAAATTGTGAAGGATGTTTATGTTAAACCAATAAAAGCAGCATTGGCATCCCATCAGGCCATCCTAAGTGATATAAGTACTCAGCTCATCTTTTCCGATGTCTTGGACATTTTACAAATAAACAGGTATATTTCACTAACTACTTTGAACCATTCCACTATCAAAAACTTTTAGAGATAAAACAAAGCAACCCCAGCAACCCAGTTCTATTAAATAACTCAAGGGTTTGGGAATATAATGATTTGAAGTGACTAGTAGATTTCCTGTAGACATAATTTCTTTCTAATCTGGATGGATGGACAGCAGACAGACAGACAGACAGACAGACAGACAGACAGACCTTTGAGTTGACTCCTGGTGACTTCTTGGACAAGTTCTCTTGGCAAGTTTTTTCAGAAGTGGTTTGCCATTGCCTCTTTCTAGGATTAAGAGTGAATGGACTAATATCATCCATCTGGCTTTGTGCTCCAGGCAGGGCTAAAGCGACAGTCTCCCAGATTCTAATGCCTTAATTCAGGGGTATCAAATTTGTGTCATCACAGCATCATCACATGACATATCATGACTTTTCTGCCCTTCATTAAAGTGGGGGGGGGGGGGTGACCAGCGCATGATGCATCCGGCCCTCAGGCCACAACTTTGACAGTCCTGCCTTAACTGCTACATCAAACTGGATCTCTGTGTTCCAGTACAGTAAACTGCTTTCTAATCCAGTTGGTTAAAGAGTCGTAAATAGGAGTATACATTGAATATGATTCCAAGTGTTAGTTTTCAGTGAAAAGTGGGATAGGAAGTTGGACATTTCATATTGTGTCAATTTCCAAATGAAAGAAAGTAGTAGGGACACTATTTTCTGTACAAGCCAAACCTCAGCCCTGGTTCCAGTTCTGAGTGCCTCCATTTCTGAGCACCTTAAGAATAATTCAGATAAATTTGGATAGGTATGGGGAAGTTCAAGGAGAATGATTAGAACACTGGAAACTAAGATCTGCGAGTCATACCCTTTGGAAAGCTTGGTACAGCTGGCCTTTCTCAGGTCATCACCACACAAACAAGCACCTCACCTTCATCAGCCATCCCAGCACTGTAGGAGTGTGTCCATTCAAGCAAACCATCTGAAAAAGCAAGCCATCAGTGCAGCCCCATTGACCTTTGACAGGGTTGCCTTGACACTTCAAACAGGAATCTTCACTTGCATCAGTGTTCTTCACAAAATGTCTTTTCTAAATGGTTTGCCTAGCTTAATAAGTAGGTTATATGTGGTTGTGAAAGCACTGAATGTTGACTAAATATCCTAATGGTAACAACAGAACCAGTAAGGGAGATGGTGAGCTCCCCTTTACTATGGATAGCTAGCTATTAATGATATTTTAATTTAGATTTCTGCACTGAGGGTGCAATTGGATTCGGCAGTTTGTTTAAATTGCTCCTCAAACTGCAGAATTCTATGATTCTCCACGGTGGGTGACAAAGTAGTAATGCATTATGTTTAGGATGAAGATTTGAGAAAGTTAAATAGATCTCCCCTCCTTTGTAAATTGATTGGCACAGGCTTTCCCAGAGATAGATAAATAGCTAGATTATTCTTGACAGTATTCTTGATAAGAGCTTTGCTATTTTTTTTCCAAGTTATTTTTTTCCCCAGTTTCTAAATCTAGCCTACAGCCCTAAGATTTCTTAGTTTCCTCTTCTGGCACTCAGGCCTGACTCTGGCTTAGTTTACCAGGTGCTGCTGGCTGATAGAATGTCAACTGTTACAGGTAAGTCTGGATTAGCAAGCATTCCACTTCATGCAGGTGATTTAACAAAATTTCCCAGGGGTAACTGCCTGAATGCTTAAAGGTGTTTTTTTTTTCCTTCCAAAATGTGGGTCAGGCAAAGTATCAAATTTGCTAAAGGTTATACAGGGCTGAGTTTCTTGTTTATATATGGATAGCTCTAATATACAGTACAATCATAGGTAGTAATTCTAGAATCACTAGGTATAAGACAGGCTGCAATAACTGGATACCCGGGATTTTCTTAGTAAAAAAAATGCACTGGACAGCAGCATTTAAAAGTGCCAACTATTTTTCAAAAGACAAGATCTCATTCTACTACTTTCTCAGATTTCTACTTGGGTATGTGCTGAACTTGTCAGTTTTCAAGAATAGAATATCTCTAAGGTTGACCAATTGAATATTAAGCTTTACCTGTGATAAATTAATATCACAGATTAATAGTTTTCTGTAGTCTTACTGGAATCTTTTCTAATGGAATAGAGGCAGACCCATTAAAGGTAAGCCTTAAGTCTTGCCTCATGCAAACTGGGAGGGAGATGACTCCTTAGATATAGAAACATAATGTTGTCATCACCAGCTGTTGCAACTTGTCTGGAACCAGATAGAAAGATAGAAACACCCTTCTGCGTTTGTTCCAAATACAGGTGTTTTTTAGCTGAGTTAACACGAAGGCTTAATGAATGGAGCCCTGCCCAAAACGTAGGAGACATATTCATTAAGTTGGGCCAGCAGTTTCAAACCTATACAAACTTTTTCAACAACTATGCAATAATTCTGAAAACTATTGATAAGGTAAGAATGCACCAATCTCCCAAGGTCTGGTTTATTCTCCTCTATAGGTTTATTTTATTAAACACACTCTTGCTAATTCATTTAAAATACACAATGGGCATTTCCCTTTTACAACTTTCAAACGGTGCCGGGGATGGAAGCCTTTGGTTTTTGCTAGCATTGCATATAACAGGTTTAACTGGAATTCTCCTCATCTCAATGGAGCCAGAAAATAGGTTTGAAGCTGCCTGTGATCATGCCTGGAGGATTTCTGATTCCTCTCCCTTGAGGCCAGCATGCATTATGGCAAAATATTTTTGCTATTCAGTTATTTCTTTTTAATCTATTCATTTCTAACCGGATATCAGTGTTTCTATTTTTCCGGTGATTCAGTCCATCTCTCTGGACTAACATTGCTTCCTTTTCATTCATAACCTATTTTGATATTTCAGTTAATTTTACTATGTAACCCATCTACCTGTTTTTAGATAGCTGTGCTCTCCATCTAGTATAAGCCAGTTATTATGGTATTCATTGTGGTTTTTCCATTCCATACAATATCAATTGATGAAGGAATAATTTTGGCAGGATTGTTTCAGATTTATCTCCAGAATAGGCTTTATTTTAGCTATATTGGATATCAAATTATACAATAAGGAACTCTAAGGAAAACAATTCCTGCCGTATCAGATGCATACTCAGTATTGAATTATCATTATCATTATTCAGGCCTGTGAACTGGATGGCCTGTGAACTGGATGGCCTGTGAACTGGA